CAGGAGCAGGCTCTAGTTGGCTGCACTAGAGGCGAATTGTCATCTACTAATAATGACGTCTGTCTGTCCATCTTGAAGATCCAGGGAGAGTCCAAGCCTACCAAGAGCGTGAAGACCATCCACTATAAGGGCGTCTTCGGCACCATCACCACCATGGTGAAGACGGAAGGTCCCACGAGCCTGTACAACGGCCTGGTGGCTGGGCTCCAGCGTCAGATGAGCTTCGCTTCCATTCGTATCGGGCTGTACGACTCCGTGAAACAATTCTACACCTCCACGGGGTCGGAGAGTGAGTGCTGGCACCACACGCACGTCCAGGGGCCGTGTTCTCAACCTCTAGTTCAGAACGTCGGGCCACACCCTCAGCTGGTGTGAATCAGTTCATGGAAGCTGATGAACTCCACTAATGGAGCTCCGCTGATTCACACCAGCTGAGGCTCTGGCCCATTATCCTAGAGGTTGCCACTTAAAAAAAAAATTTACAGTGAGCTGAATAACCTGAGATCCCAAATTACGAATGGGGTAAACGTGCTACACATATCAGAGGGGTAGCCGTGTTAGTCTGAATCTGTAAAAAGCAACAGAGGGTCCTGTGGCACCTTTAAGACTAACAGAAGTATTGGGAGAATAAGCTTTCGTGGGTAAGAACCTCACTTCTTCAGATGCAAGTGAACACATAGGATCCCAGTCTCACCCAGGTCCTGCAGTGCCCTGAGGGCAGCTAAACTAGATGTTTGAGCACCTGCTTTGGGACGTGATCAGATACTCGATGTCTTGTTGACATCCACTGCCCCGTCAAACAATGGCAGGCCAAAAATTCAGGCCAGGTTTAAAGAGCTTGGTCCTTCCCATTTAAAAACTACATTTCAGAACCAAACGTGTGACAAGCGGTTCCCTCTCTTTGGAGCCAGAGTCTGCAGCTGGATCAGCCTGGGGGGGCCTCGGTCAGTGTTGGCGGGGTGCAAAGGGAGGGTGTAGCGGGACACGGTGAGCAGGGCCTTCTCTTACCCTATTCACAGCTTCCTGATGGTTGCTATCTCCAGTGCTGCTCAACGCCTCTAAAAACCAGACCCGGAGAGTTTAAAGTTGGGCATCCAGAAAACTGAGGCCAACCCCCAAATTAGAGGCCACCTGAAAAGTTAGGCTAAGTGACATCCCCGAGGCCATGCAGGGAGTCGGCCTTTGCCTGTGGCCTCAGTGCTGGATGGAGGGGACATGCTCGCGCCCAGCCCTAGCAAGGGAGGTGAAAGGCACTCTGATTTAGTGGGGAGGCTGAGAAAAACTCAGCTCTGTGCATTGCTACCTAGCTGTCGATCCTAGAGACAGACCTAGAGCTTGCTACCCAGTTTATTCGCTCCCATTCAGATGCCGGCGTTCTCACCCGGTTGCTGGCGGGCTGCACCACCGGAGCCATGGCAGTCACGTGTGCCCAGCCGACCGACGTGGTCAAGGTGCGATTCCAAGCCCACGTGAGGCTGACGGATGGAACCAAGAAATACAACGGGACTGTGGATGCCTACAAAACCATCGCCAAGGAGGAAGGGGTCAGAGGCCTCTGGAAAGGTACAGGATTTATCTGTGTGGAGCGAGAGAGCCTCCCAGACCAATTGCCCACTGGTGTAAATCAGGGTAGCTCCACTGAGGTCAGTCTATGGAAGTCAATGGAGCTACGCCAGATTACACCAGTTAAGAATCTGGGCCCAGCTCCTCAAAAGTATTTAGGCCCCTAATTCCCATGGCCCTTAGTATTCAATAGATGAAGGTGAACAGAGCAAGCCCAGCTAACAGAATTCAGCTCTGGCCCCTCGGGTTCTGCAGATATCCCTGGAGGACAGGGCCAGATGGTTTTAAAGTGGCCATGCAACAGCTCTGGCAGCAGGTCCATGTGACCAGATGGCATTCCCTTCCCTGCTTCCCAGATCCCCATTTCTGCTCCGGCACAGGGGGGAGGAGGCCTGCTCTGTTATCCTGGGGCTGGCTGCCCCTGTTGCAGGTTCGGGCAGCCCTAAGAGGGCTTAAAATAGGACCTGAGTGGTACCTAGCCCTCACCCTGGCTCGGCACAGGATGGGACTTTCACCTATAATCTGCTACCACTGCAGGATTTTATACCACCAGGTAGTATTTTTAAGGTGAGACAGGAGAGAAGGACGCATTTCCCAGACTGGCTCATTGTAGCATAAGCCACAACAAACACACTGACTGTTAGACCCCAAAGGGCGGATCACAACCAATCGCAGACCAGAGCAGAGCAAACCAAAACGCCACCCCCCTCCCAAATGAGGGGGCTGGTGGGTCAGAAAAAGGAAAGTGGGGTGTTCTATTCAGGCCCTGCTCACAACCCCAGACTCCACCCCGACCCCAGAACCGTGGGATACTTCTACCCAAATGATCAGAGATCAAATCATTAACAATGGTGACGCTAATGATGATTTTATGTCAGCACTCACCTGCGATGGTTTGGGGGCACATTCCATCCAGGGCGAGATGGAATGTCCTTTTTCCTCTTGCGTTACAGAAATAAGGTTCCTGGCAAGCCCACAGACCTGCAATAACAGATTTGCCTCGTCATTTACTCGCTCCCCATTTCCTTGTGCGCTCGAGATAGAATTGTGATCGAACTATCCAAGCCCAGGACTGAGTTGCAGGACTCCCAGGATCCATCGCTTGCTCTGTCATTGAATTGTTATGTAACTCTGGGCTTCTCTCTCCGCCACTGTATAATGGGGATAATGAGTTTTGGCCACTTTTGTAAAGTGTTTTGACCGCTGTGGATAAATAATGCCACGTAAATGCCAAGTATTATTCTTATTATCCCTTAAAATCCTGGTATCACAGAACTCCTGCCATCTGGTAGAGCTCCTTTAGGCACAGGGGTAATGAACACGATTAATAATAATACAGTCATGGTCATCACCTGCCCTACTTTGCTTTCAGAAGAGCAGTGTGAGCTCACATGGCCAGAGTCACTCTCTAAACCATTCATCCTTTGCATCTTCTGCCTCAGGGACGTTACCCAACATCACCCGCAACGCCATCGTGAACTGCGGAGAGATGGTTACCTATGACCTTCTCAAGGAGATGCTGCTGAAATATCATCTAATGACAGGTGAGGGAACCAGGGCCTTGAGTGAGTGAGGGTGTCCTTCCTTCGTCTTTTCCATCTGGGGAGCCTGGTGGTTAGAGTTCTGTCTCTCTGAGTCCTCTCCATTGCTTCTCCTCCCAATGGCCTTCCGCAATGGGTGATGCTCACTCTGGCAGAGGGCTGGAGCCGGCTACCCATGCTGCTTCAGACGTCAGTTGGAGGTTTCAGTAGCATGGTGGTAAGGATGGTCTAGTACAGAGCACTAGACCTTAGAAGACCTGAGATCTATTCGCAGCTCTGCCACAGACTCCCTGCATGACCTTGGGCAAGGCACTTAGGGACAGATTTTCAAAGGGATTCAGGCACCTAAAGGTGTAGATGGGCACCTAGTTGGATTTCCAAAAACTCCCACTGGGAGTTAGGTGCCTACACACTTTAGACAATCCCACTAGGTGCCTAAATCCCTTTGGGAACCTGGTGCTTAGCCCCAAATTTTCAGAAGTGCTCATGGATTTTACGTACTTCAGTTTTGAGGCATCCAGCTTTGAGCAGCTTGGGCCTGATTTTCAGGGGTGCTGAGACCTCGCAGCTCTCATGGACTTCAGCTGGCGTTACAACTGGCTCTGTAGCTTTGAAAATCAGGCCCAAAAAGTCTCAAGGTGTGCGTCCCAAAGATAGTGTCAAACCTCCTGTGCCTCAGTTTCCCCCATGTGGAGAATGGAGATACTTCCCAATCTCTCGGGGAGAGGGCCAGTTTATTGATGTCTGTAAATTGAACGGAGGTCCTTGGGTGGAATACGCTCTAGCTGTGCATGGCACCAATGACTAATTGCAAGTGGCTTGTAAAGGCAAAATCATCCCGTTTGCAGTGGAAAATTCCATTACCCCAAAACCTATTACCCATTTCCCACCCCCAGACACTTTTCCTTGCCATTTCGTCGCTGCTTTCGTAGCTGGGTTCTGCGCCACTGTGGTGGCTTCGCCCGTCGACGTCGTGAAGACGAGATACATGAATTCCACCCGTGGCCAGTACAAAAATGCCTTGAACTGTATGCTCACCATGGTGATCCTGGAAGGACCCACAGCGTTTTACAAGGGGTAAGTGGTGCTTAGGCACTGAGTCAGCTACAAATCTGTATCCAGGCCTGTACCGTGCCCATGGCCTAGTCAAGGAGCAGCGCATGTGTTCATGTAACAAGTCTACAGAGGAGACTGACAGTGACAGAGCACTGGGCTGAGAGTCAAGAGACCTGGGTTCTCGTCTGCTCTCTGCTACCAGCTCATGTGACCATGGGCAAGTCACTTTGGGACAATTTTTCCAAAGCGGCCTCTAATGGGTGGCTCGGTCCATGGCCCTCCAGCCTGAGATTTTCAGAGGTGATAAGCATCACAGGGCAGGGCAACTCCACCTCTGGTTCCCCTCAGTGATCCCATAAGGGCCCGCTCCCAGGCTTCCGGCTCCCCTGGCTGTCCCGTCTCTTGGGTGGAAACACGCAGCTCTCGCCCTTCTGCCCGGAGCATCTCCAGGCTGAGCTGTTCCCTGCCTTCACTCTGTTACTCCCAGCCTGCTCCAGGAGGCCTGCTTGCTTTCTCTTCAGAGCTGCTTGACAGTGTGATGGCCCCGGTTATAGATGCCCCACCGCTCTTTCTGTGCATGTCTATTTTATTCTTAAGGTAAAAGTGCTACAGAGAAAACACATTAAAAACAAGGAAAGAACTTGCACACAAGCTAAGAAGCTCACCAGAGATCACCCCAACCCTCGCATGGGCTCGGGCAGGAGCAGTCCTGCAACCCCCCACCCACGGGGTTTCCTTGGGGTTTCAAGTTCATCACAGCTTTACCTCAGAACAAGCGCCCAGTAGGCCCAACCCTCCCCGAAGGATTGGGGTCCTCCGGGAACCAGGGGTCCTGTCTGCTTGCTGGATCAGGAAGATGGCCCTGAGCCTATTTGTAACCAGGCAGTTTATCCCCAACGCTTCCTTTGTCTGTTGGTCCCTGGAGAATCCCGTCTGAACTCCACTTCCCCAGGGGGTAGCTCCAAACACCCATTGGAGGAATGACATTCGTATCCTCCTCCTCCTCCTCGAGGAGTGCCACACAGTGCCACAGATACCATTGCCTTTTTAACACAACGCCCCCCGAAGGCATCAACCCTCATCCAGTCTGCTATAAGCTTATCTTCATTCCACTAGGTTGGTCCAGGACATTGTCAGTCTGTCCCGTAAGCACCTGCTGGCTTCAGCTGGCTTGTGGTGGATGCTTAGAACCTTTGCAGAGCAGGCATGAGGCTCTCAGCCCGGGCATCCAAAACACAAGACACCCAGAAGCCTTTACAACATGAGAGCCTGGAGCTCTCTGCGCCTCCACTTCCCTGTGTGTAAAATGGGGAGAATCAGGAGCGGCGCCAGGGTTTTTGGCGCCCTAGGCGGGGGTCCTTCCGCGCTCCTGGTCAGCGGCGGTAGTTCTGCGGCCGGCAGGACCTTCCGTGCTCCCGGTCTTCAGGGCACTTCGGCGGCGGGTCCCGGAGTGAGTGAAGGACCCGCTGCAGAATTGCCGCCAAAGACCCGGAACGCGGAAGGACCCACCGCCGCCGAATTGCCACCAAGGGCGGCAAAATGCCGCCCCCCCAAATCCTGGTGCCCTAGGCGACCACCTAGGTCACCTAAATGGAAGCGCCGGCCCTGGGGAGGATTATACCTACCCAGCTCTGTAAAGCACTTTGAGATCTGCAGCTGATGAGCGTAAGGGCCCAGATGCTCAAAGGTGGTGCCTGACTTTCATTGAAATCAGTGGGAGGTTGGTGCCTTTGCGAATCTGGGCCTAGCCCAGGGCTAAGTATTACAGATTTGTCTGGTTTCATATTCTGCTGTGCTTGCGAAGCACGGGAAAGAGTCAAGCCCACCTGGCTCGGTCTCATTATTTACAGAGCACCGTGTGTGTGCAGAGCAACCGGTAAGGTGTCTCTAGCCAGGGGTGGGTGCGATGTTGGGCCGGGCAGGAATCAAGGCTAGTGTTAAAGAATAGGAGTGGCAGGGGGAGCTGGCTGAGGGTGCGTGATGCCAGGCAGGAGAGCAACAGAGGGGAATCCATGGATAGCAAGGATCATAAGGGAGCTAGTGGATGGGGGATCCACCAGCCGAGATACAGCTTGTTGTTGGTTGCCAGGGGCTTGGAGTACCCTGGTTGGGGATGAAGGGGAAATTCTTTAGCCTCTACGCTGTTGGATCGCTTAATGTCTATTGTCCCCTCTCTCAGGTTCATGCCCTCGTTCCTACGGTTGGGATCCTGGAACGTGGTGATGTTTGTGACCTACGAGCAGCTGAAACGCGCCATGATGCTGGCCCATGAGACGTAAGCGTCTCCATCCTAAGCCCCAGGGAGATCTGTGGGATGAGACGACAGAGGACAGCCTGGGGGCTCCCGTGGATTCTCCTCTCCCAGGCAAAGCTGGCTCTCTCGGCTGAACTCTGACCGGGACACACACTCCCAGCCGCTGAGGTGGGGACATGCGGCTTTGGATGGACTGTCCGGCAACAGCTGGCTTTTCGAAACCCACTTGTCACAGTCGGCGAGATGCCAACATATATTACGTTATTTAAACATGCCCAAGGGATGCAAGATACTGAAGCGACGAAAAAGGACTAGAAAAAACCAAACCATCAGTGAAGCCAAACTTTCGATACGGCCTCTGAGCTCTTCGAACCATCTTGGATCCAGGTGCTGCCATGTGGACAGGAAACTGGAGCATAATCCCAGGGTGATGATAAAGAGCAAGGTATGCTTTGGGGGATGGGAGAGCAGTTCGATGGGGAAGCACAGGGGTCAGCATTGGGTTTAGTCTTATTGAATATCTTCAGAAGGATTAAACAGCCTTCATGAGTGATAGCAAACGGCGGAAATTGCCAGTGTAGTGAGTAAGGGACTTTGGGCTTAGCTTTTTACAGATTGGTGGGTTCTTTACCCAGGTGGGTTTTTCTGCCTAACTCTAGGCACTACTTTTTCTCTGGGCTTTTTATTTTCATGGTGCATGCGGCATGGTCCGTGCTCCGCCCCCTGCCCAGCAGGAGGACACAAACCCCGCCCCCACACTGCTCTCTACCCCTGCCCCTCAACGAGTTGGGCTGGTTTTTAGATCATTTTATGCTTGTTTCTTTTAAGTTTTCTGGCAAGCAGCAAGGTCGGAGCAATAACTCAAAGGAACTTAGAGACACCTGGGACATGGGAAGAAATAAATAGTCAAAAAATGTCCATCTAAACTTTTTGAAGAAATGGGAAATTTTTGCAAAAAAATATTCTGTTTTTGTCAAAAAAAAATGGTGGGTTTTATCAAAACAATAATTTTTGGGGGGAAAAAAACCTTTAAAATCTTATAGTGGAAAAAAATCATTTCCTGACAGCTCTAGAAAGAAGTAACCCAATGAGATTCAGCGTCGGTTCAATTCCCTGTTCTGCTGCGGGCGCCGGGATAATTCTTCCCTAGCCTCACAGGGGTGTGGGGAGATACTCAGATGTTACTGTGAGCTGGATAACACCACCAAGGGGATGATTTGGTAAGGGTGGTCTGAGAAGAGCAGGTAACTGCGATTGAGGGGATGAAATTAAACCAAGGAAAACGTAGGAGAAAAATCAGGAAAGGTTTCCTAACAGTGAGGGTCGAGCTTGGCTTCCAAGTGATGGAAGGCCCGTCCTTCAAGTTGTTTAAAGGTAGGCTTGGTCTACAAGCAGAAATATTACCACCATAACTATACTGAATAGAGCCAAGTCAACAGGTGGAAGGCTTTACCGGTATAGGTATACCAGAGTACTAGATGAGCAAAGTGCTCTTCGTGTGGACGCAGCAAAATTGTGCCTTGGCAGCATAGCTTATTCCAGTGCCTCCAGCTCTCCTCCCAACTAAATCAACTGGCCAGCAAACGCCCCAGTGCAGATACAGTTTTACCAGCAAAAAAAGGCCTGTTGCTAGGATAGTTGATTTTGTTTGGAGAACAGGTACAAGGTGTACTGGGAAAAGAACTCTCTTGCTGGTCTGTCGGCATAGCTATACTGGCAAACCCTTTGCAGGGTAGCCAAGGCCTTAGACTGGATTATACACTGATGAATAGACTTTAGGGAACAAGCCCAGTGAAAAGACCAACCAGCTGGGACCTGCCAGGTCTTTACCATCTCTGGTCTTTGTATGATTCAGCTGATGTGCTGGGAAGCAGAAGTGGGATAAATTAATGCAAAAGAAACGCCTACCAAGACACGGTAACTTTAGTTCCTCCCTCCCTCTCTCCCTCCCACAGAGCTGACCGCCCACAGATGGAACTGCAGTAGGACGCCGACCCGATCTGCCTGCGGTGCACACTAGTCAGTGTTCTGGAGCTGCACTGAGAGGGGGTTACTGGAGGAACATTGCCCACCCATGTGGATCACTCGTGTCACAGGGGAATAGTGGCCATTCAACTGTGTCATTGTTATTGCCACCTTGCAGCCATTGCTAATAAAAGAACTCAGAGGGCCCCCAGGGGATCCCGTTGCGGGTCTCCTGGCTTTTCCTTGGCAGATTTAGTTCTTTCTCTCTTTTTCCTCTCTGGCCCATGCTGAAAGGCCTGTGGAGCAAACCCAGAGGGGACGGCTGAGGGATCTAAGCATCGGGTTAGAAATACCTAGAACGATCCCAATGCTTGAATCCTAGTGGGATCAGCTCACCCTGCATCTTTCTGAGCTGGACAAATGAACCTGCTTCACCGAAAGCACTAACCCAAGGCCAAAGCAACAGCATCGCCCTGGTCAATGAAAGACAATGGCGACTACAGCAGGCAGGCCCCCACCCGAGCAGTGGCGTGGAATTCACCCCGGTCCAGGTGCAGAAACCTTGTGCTGAATTTCCCCTTCAGTGCTGAGCTCACAGGAGTGATTTGGGGAAGTCTGCTCCAGCAGCACCGGCCCCTTTCCGGCCTCCGTGGTTCACATCCTAAAGGATCAACAAGGGCCACAGTTAAGGGTCTCTTAAAAACATCCTTCGCAGGTCCCCTTTAACTGTCCCGGTGGAGCAGTAAATGGCATCCCAAATGATACAGGGCTTTGCAGATCAGAATCACCAGCTTGAGCTACACCTAATAGCAACGCTAACTCAGAGCTTGCAGCCAGAGCGGAGCACCCCTGTGCAGTCAGTACGAGGCTCATGCACTTATCTGGGATGGACGCACCCTCCAGGCCAAGTGGGATACGTGCTGCGTACTCTGCTGTGATTCACTGCACAGAGGTGAATTTCACCCTCCGTGCACAGCTGCTCTGTACCCACAGCCAACAGCCCCACGCTCTTTGCAAGCACTGAAATTCATAACCCATAAATCTGAAGAAGTGAGGTTCTTACCCACGAAAGCTTATGCTCCCAGTACTTCTGTTAGTCTCAAAGGTGCCACAGGACCCTCTGTTGCTTATAACCCATAAAGATTAGCCCAGCACAGCCCCCTGGTGCAGACGCAGCCTACCCAACAGATGGAGTTTTCTGTCAGTGCAGGAACACCACCTCCCGGCGTGACATTGGCTACTCCAACAGAAGCATTCTTCCGTTGACATAGCTACATCTATTCTGAGGGTTAGGTCGGCATCAGTCAGGGTGTTTTCTTCATACTCCTGACCGATGTAGCTCTGCTGATATAACTTTCAAGGGTGGACCATGCCTTAGATCAGTGACTCTCAACCTACTGTATCCCTTTCAAGAGTCTGATTTGTCTTGGGTACCCCCAAGTTTCACCTCACTTAAAAACTACTTGCTTACAAAATCAGGCATAAAAATACAGAAGTGTCACAGCCACACTGTTACTGACCAAATGCTGACTTTTGCATTTTTACCAGGTAATTATAAAATAAATCAATTGGAATATAAATATTGTACTTACATTTCAACGTATAGTATATAGAGCAGTGTAAGTAAGTCACTGTATGAAATTTTACTCGGTTCTGACTTTGCCTAGTTTTACAACATGCTACATAAAAAGCACTAGCAAATACCTAGATGAGTTGATGCACTTCCTGGAAGACCTCTGAGTACCCCCCTGGGTACGTGTGCCCCTCGTTGAGAACCACTGCCTTAGATACTACAATGATGGGCAGAATAGAAAACTCTAAGACAGATACATCAACATTCAATTCTACTTCTAACTGGACTATGATGATGGCATTAAAGAATTAAGCCACACCAGAGTGTCTTTTATTGATGCCCTCTTCTGCAGTGGTGGGAAGCAGTAGAACAGATAGCGTCAAACCATTCAAAGAAGCATTGAGGAGTTAACATATGTGATGGGATCTGGTCCCTTTTCCTTGTGGAGCAAAGTGATGCTTTTTAGAAGGTTTCTTCAAAATGTAGCAGTGGGGGGATATTTTGGCTGAAGCTAAGCAAAGCACTAGTGAGTCCCTTTTCAGTGATCAGTCCCCAGATGTGAGCCTCTGGGTGTTGATCCAAGGTGGCAACATCCCTGAAAAAGGAGCCAACCAGCCAATCAGAACTCGAATTCTGAGGTAGAGGTTGGGTCAGAGTCTGAAAGTGAGGAGACCTGGGTTCCATTTGCTAATCTCCGTCTACGCTAGGGAACCCCTGGTCGGCAAGGGTTAAAGTCCCTAGTGTGCTACGCTGTTACTTCGGGCAAATCACCTGCTTTGTGCCTTGGTTTCTCCATTTGTGGAAGTCAAGCGAAATGAGGTTCCGTTGTTTTTTAAAGTGTTGCCTGTTTTTTGAAATCCCTCACTCCGCTGCACTCTGCTGGGTGTGTTTCAATGCAGTGTCTTTAATTCACTCTTTTTAAAAAACAAAGCTCCTTCGTGCAATTTATCGCAACTCTGCTTACGCCCAACTTTCAGAGAACCAGAGAAATGCAGGACTGGAAGGGATGTCAAGAGGTCGGCTAGTCCGTTGCCTGCGCTGAGGCACAATGAAGTAACCTTCCAATCCAATATTCCTCAACGAATCCCAACAGAGAGGCTACTAAAGTCCTGAGTTCAAAGGAAGAGGCAAAAGAAGCCAGAATACTCAAGAGGGGTTCTGATCTCTATGGCATCAAATCTTAGACGTTGTCCAGCCCTTCTGGTTGTAAAGGGAACCTTCAAATGCAACCACTGCCTTTTTGGGGATCAGGAAAGAGAATCAAACAATAGCACAAAGAAATGAGAACACTCCTTATTCATCTCAAAGGGCTCTTCATTGTCAAGCCTCAGACTTCATGAGCCCTTGTTCACCTTGACAATGCTAATCCATGGACCAGAAAACTCCGGCTCATTTTATCCCACTCATCATGTCCTGGTGTTGCAGTCGTTTGACGGGCTATTTCATAGGACTAGCTTGGAACATGCACATGATTGAATATTCCTTTGAGGATTCAGGTAATTAAAACAGTTGCTACTGTTCTTAACGACTGGGTGGAAAGGCCAATAGTCTCAAATTTGGGAATGCAGCTAAGGCACTCAAACTGATTAACGAGTGTCCACGCTGGCAGGGATTCAACTAAATTAATGTAGAAACTAAGTTAGTTAAACTGGTGCAATTTCTGGATGTAGAGCAGGGTGAGGCATCTAAAGTGAGGCACTCAAATCCATACTTAGGCATCTAAAAAAGCAACCAGGTGCACGCATGCAGTTCTTATTGACTTCCATCTTTATGTCAGGGCTGATTTTGGTCCAAGCTCAATAAAAAGATTCACAGATGTCTCAAAATCATTTTGTTTTTCAGGGACAGTTCTTAGCAGGGGTCATTTCTGGTGATTAGAAAGATGCAGTCGGTTGAACATAAGCCTCCACTTCTTGCCTGTGTCTCGCGTAGCATGAGACAAATCATTTTAAATGGCTAACAGAATCTTACCTCCATTTTTCAGGCAATTCTGTAACAGCAATCCCCTGGAAACAGATCTTTCCCAGACCTCTTAAACAGGGAAAGTGTGTGAGCAAATAAATCGTCTCCACTTGGACGATATCAGATTATGATTGTGTTTTGAACAAGGGTTATTTGAGCAACAGAAGCTCAGCCGAAAGCACAGTCTAGAAATAAGAACAGCGTGTGTGCATTTTATAAGTGGAGAGACCGACGGAAAACAGAGAGTTCTTAGCCCATAAGGATGGATTGTATAGGAATGAGGGTACACTTGGGAAATCTCCATAGACTATTAGTCGTTTTTAGTCTTTTTGCTTCTGGCACCTGTTTTACACACAGAACTCGAGTTGCCGTTGGTTTACGGTGCCACATTTGTATCACGGAGACAATTCACGATGAACCAGAAGTGTACTCTGAGGATCTGAAATAACAGCAGAAATATGAACTCACAGGCTGCCGGCTACACCGTCTTTTATCTCCATTCTGTCCCCTCCCTTTTCATTTTGTTTGGGGTTTCAAGTGAATTTCATGTTCCTGAAAAGTGCTGGGTCCGTAGTGCCTGAACTCCCCTACTTAACAACAGAACAAGAGATGCAGAGTGCAAGCTTCATTTGCAGAAGCACCCCCTCCCACCGACCCCCGCTGACTTGGAACGGCCCACTTCTAGGGTTCAAAGGAGCATCTATCCCCCATGTCTGTTACATCCTTTGGTTAATGTCACCATCTCGCTGGGGCCTCTAGGTGAAGTTGTGAAGTCCCTAGGAGGTTTTTAAGAATAGGTTGGACAAACATCTGTGAGGTTTAGGGTTACTTGGTCCTGCCTCGTTACTGGGGGCTGGACTAGTTGACCTCTTAAGGTCCCTTGGATTCTTTGAGGGTGGGTTTTGTGAGGTGGGCACTTGTCCGCTGCACAGGCCACTGAGTAGCCATCAGATGGTGGCAACTTTGGGTGCCTGCCAATCTACACCAAACCTGCACCAGTGCTGTAGAGGCGAAAGACTTTTTGTTCCACTAGCAGCCCCCTGAGCCGGTCAAGCCCCAGGGCAAAAAGTTCCTGGCCATTGTTTTGTTGTTCTCTGCAGGATGTTTTCACTTTTGCTTGGTTGGTTGAACTCTCCAACTGACTGGCCTCCTGAGGAACCGAGAGAGAGCGAGACAAGCTACACTCCGTGTCAGGGTCTGTTAGTGTCTGACTTCAGCAGCGGCACTGGATAGCCCAGGGAACAGCTGAGCAGTGCCTTTTTCACCTCTCCCTGCCACGGACTTACTGCTTCCAGCTGGTTCGCCTGTGTCACCTCATGGGACCAGTCGCCCTCTGCAACCTTTGATCGCCAACTCAGCTGTGCTGACAGATAACACTCACCCCACCTCTGCACCAGGGCGGGGCCATCAGCCCTGCCTCAGCACCCTCCTAACCTTCATCAGAGCACCTGCTCCCATCCCTTCCTAGCACTGCTCTCCCATTGGCTAGGGCAGTGGGATGCTGCCCTGTCTCCCGATCAGCCCAGGCTGAGCTGGGGAACCCGAACCCCCGCCCCACACCCACCCACACACACAGCGGCTCGGGGACACGTGGATCGCCCCTGCAGCCCGGCGCCGCTTCTGCCGCCTCCTGAGTGCAACGTACATTGGCGGGGGAAGGGAAATGCTGCTTGTTAGCGGCGGTGGGGGAAGGGCAGGCAGGGAATGGGGCGATCAGTGGGGTGGGGGTAACACGGGGGCAGGAAATAGGGCGATCAGTGGGGGAAGGGCAGGCAGGGAGTGGGGCGATCAGTGGGGTGAGGAGGGCAGGGAACAGGGTGACTGCTGGGGTGAAGGGGGTGACTCTCAAGAGTCCGTCGGGAAGTGGGGCGCTGGGGGTCAGACGGTCGCTGGCGGCGCACGTGGGGGAATCGCACCCCCCGGAGCTGGGCACCTGCTGCCCCCGCACACCCCCCGCGTGGAAGGGGGTTTCTCACCGGCCCCCTTCGCCGCCTCTTGGGGGGTTAGTCCCTGAGACCCCGCTCATGGGGGGATCCCCTGTCATGGGGGCGGGACGGAGCTGAGCGGCGGCGGGGGCTGGGCGGGGCGGCTCATGCCGGCTCCCGGGGCGGTATAAAGCGGCAGCCACGCGGAGGCTCCTCCTCCTGCGATCGGTGCCGCTGCCGCTTCTCCCCCTCGGGCTCAGGTCAGTCCCTGTCCCGGGCGCCCCCGGAAGCCGCAGCTGGGCGCATGGCGGGGCTGATCCCGCCACGGCCCCTGGGAGCCGCGACCCCTCCGCGCTGTGCGCCCCTGGGTGGGCTCCGGCCCCTGCAGCGCTTCGCTGCCTCTGCCCTGGTGACCCGAGACCTGGGGGGGCGAAGAGGGGGAATTGCCCCCCGGGCGGCGCTGGGGCTGCTGGGGAGCGGGGCGCAGGGCGGGACGCGCCCGGGGCGGGCGGGCTCCCCGCGGGATGGTTTCTGGGGCTTCCCTTGCGGAGCTAAAGGTCCGGAACGCGCCGCCCCCGCCCGGCACCAGAGCGCCCAGCTGCCCCGCGGCGTTGCAACCTCTGTCTGGGGTAGGGTGACCAGATGTCCCGATTTTATAGGGACGGTCCTGATTTTTGGGTCTTTTTCTTATATAGTCTCCGATTACCCCCCACCCCCTGTCCAGATTTTTCACATTTGCTGTCTGGTCACCCTAGTCTGGGGTTAGGTGCGTGGGTTGGGGGGTGGGGGGCTTCCCAACGGGCCGAGAGGATCTAGGACCCCAGTGCCCCTCGACCCCCACATCTGCCCTCACGTCCCAAGGACTAGCCCAAGTCTTCGCTGTCTAAGGGAGACGCCGATCCAGCCCGCGTGTGCCCGAGGATGGCAAACTGGGGCTTGAAGTGACTCGCCTGTCGCTTGAAATCCCTAGTCACGTGGGCGAGACAATCCAGGTGTTGATCCGCGATCCCTGGGCACAAGACTAGTGGGGCGGGGCTTTCCCTGCTTTTTGTCTTGGCTTTTTCACGCTGTCTGATTGTCTGCGGGCTGCTGCAGTGACCCGCCGGTCTTCGCTGGTTCTGACCCCGGGCACTGACAGCTGTAACTGCAGAGCGGGGTCTCCGTGCAGATCAATTCGCAGCGGGTCCGGATTGATGCTGGATTACGTTTCCTTTGCATGCTGGCCGCTGTTCAGATGCCACTTTTGCGTCACTGTCCTATCTTGAATACTTGCAAAACTTAGCCGTGTGAAATGTACTTTGCTCCAATGTGTGCTCTCCTCTCCCTCCCCAGGATAAGGATTATGATTCTCAAGTGTCTTGTTTCTAAACGAGTTTCTATGGAAAACCAGGGGGATCAGATAGTCGTTGCACTAAGCAAATTTGACGAGCGGGACACCTTTAGAGAATCCTGATCGGACAGAAAGTCGTCCTGAATTACTTGACTAAGGTAACGCTTCAATCGACTGTCTTCCGTAATGCTTTTTGGCTGCATCTGACAGAGTTGGTAGCACTCTTGCCTCTGGGACTAAAGTCTGAGCACTAACTTCATAAAACAAATTGGGCTAAAACCGAATTCTGACTTGGTAGATCCGTGCTAGGTGCCTCTCGGTTAAAAGTCTCGTCTTTCAGGTGGGATTGTTAATGGATTTCTATTCATGAATGCAATTTTGCAACAAAAAAACTTCAAAAACCGACTCCAAAGAGAGACTAGGAGTACTTGTGGCACCTTAGAGACTAACAAAGAGAGACTGCTGAACTCTAATTAATATACAAATTAGATACAATTAACTTGGGTTTGAACAGAGACTGGGAATGGTTGTAGGGTGACCAGACAGCAAGTGTGAAAAATCGGGACAGGGATTGAGGGTAATAGGAGTCTACATAAGAAAAAGACCCAAAAATAAAGACTGTCCCTATAAAATCGGGACATCTAGTCACCCTAAATGGTTGGGTCATTACACTAATGGAATCTATTTCCTCATGTTAAAATATCCTCACACCTTCTATGGGTCATCTTGATGATCACTTCAATGTGTTTTTTTTTTTTCTCTCTCCTGCTGATGATCGCACATCTCAATTGATTGGCCTCTGCCAGTTGGTAGGGCTACTCCCACCTTTTCATGTTCTCTGTATGTATAAATATCTTTCTGTGTGTTCCATTCTGTGCATCCGACAAAGTGGGCTGTAGCCCACGAAAGCTTAGACTCACATTTGTTAGTCTCTAAGGCGGGGTCGGCAACCTATGGCACATGTGCCGAAGGTGGCACACAAGCTGATTTTCAGTGGCACTCTCACTGCTTGGCTCCTGGCCACCCGTCCGGGGGGCTCTGCATTTTAATTTAATTTTAAATGAAGCTGCTTAAACATTTTAAAAACCTTATTTACTTTACGTATAACAATAGTTTAGTTACATATTATAGACTTCTAGAAAGAGACCTTCTAAAAAGTTAACTGTATTACTGGCACGCGAAACCTTAAATTCGAGTGAATAAATGAAGACTCGGCACACCACTTCTGAACGGTTGCCGACCCCGGCTCTAAGGTGCCACGAGTACTCCTGCTCTTTTAACTCTACAAAGAGCAGCCTCACCAGGTTTGAGGTTGGTGGTCTGATTGCAGTTGCTGATCACAAAATGAGGGCTGCATTACTGGTCTCTATTTTATTACGCTGCAAGTCTCTTTAATATGTGGAGTCCATAAAGCCAAAGTCTAATCTCCAGCAACCAGAGGGCTGTATATGAGTCTAGACCTCTGTGAAATGGTCGTTCTGCAAGATCTCGGACCACGTGTTCTAGCCTAGCTTGACCAACAGCCCTGCTTTCTACAGCAACTTCAAAGTGGTGCCCCTCTCTCTCATCCTTCTAACCAGTGGAAACATTAATTTAGGGTGGTAATTACCCCATTTAGAGAGATGTCAGCAAGAATACACCCTGCTGCACGGAGGGTGACTGGGTGACAGTTCTCAGTTCCTGTTGCCTCATCTCCAGCCATGATGTGGCTACAATGGGGAACCCCACCCATGTAGGAAAATTTTAGTGAAGGCCACTGCAGATCCTGTCCACACTGGGACCAGAAGTGTCCTACCCTAGCTAGGATTGTGCTCAAGCATGGTGGCTACTAGCCGGCTGCTACTGCAGCTCTCGCCACTGGATTGGCTTATCTGAGAACCTCCTTTTGAAACAGTTCTATAAAACTACAGATGTGGGTGTGATTGGCTTTTAAAAAGCATGCACTGTTGGCCTAGCTCTGTGCCCACTGGAGCAGAGTGAGGCCAGTGCTGAGGGATATGGAAAAATGCCACTCCCAGACAACACTACAATTTTTGCCATGCCAAGAACAGTCACCTGGCAGCTTGATCTTAGCATCCTAGAATATCAGGGTTGGAAGGGACCTCAGGAGGTCATCTAGTCCAACCCCCTGGCTCAAAGCAGGACAAATCCCCAGGCAGATTTTTACCCCCATTCCCTAAATGGCCCCCTCAAGGATTGAACTCACAACCCTGGGTTTAGCAGGCCAACGCTCAAACCACTGAGCTATCCCTCCCCCACCCATCTTCTGGAGTACATGGGACCCAACTGCTACCACGATCATGTCCCAGCTCTGTTGGAGTCCATTTGGACACACTATTGAAATGCAGTTTGCTGCTATCTGCTCAGATAAAGATAAAGGCAGGTTTTATCCGTAATAGGGGATTCCTAGATCTGTGACTGGCCTCCCATCTGGGTAGCCACTGGTCCCATCTACATCAGTTTCTGTTCAGGGGGGAGAGAATCTACAGCTTGATTCTGGGACAGGACGTGCATTGGTCACGGAAACGCAGCCAGCAGAAACTGTACTCGGATACAGATGGTCTCCTGATGCCAGTGTGTACTGGACTAGTCCTACAGCTAGACATGCCGATATGTGTATGCAAAGTCGGAGGTTTTCTTTTAGGGACACAGGAATTGCCATAGCAGGGTGGGCCAGTATTGGGTCCACTTACTGCAGCCAGACACTAGCTTATGGATCAGTACCAGGTGCTCTGGCGAAAGATACAAGAAACCTGATCACGGACAATAACCCTGACATTCCTGTGAGGGACTAACAACCTGTAACGTTTTCCATCTAAGGCTCTCAAAGCGACTTCACAGGCCCCAATGTTCAGATTTGTGTCTCAATACTACAGCTCTATCGAGGTGCCTCAGTCTGGATCTGTTTCGATGCCTGTTTAGGGGCACTTTAGACTGAACTGTTCTTTACAGCACCCATGAGAAGTCGTTCCAGTTTGGGATGCTGGTTTCCCCATCCACAGGGAGGCTAGGGATGCGTCTACACTGCAGCTGCGAGCCTGCTGTCCAGCACCGGTGCTAGCTTCATTGGCGCCAGCCTGCTAAAACTAGCAGCGAGGGGTAGCAGGTCGGGCAGGTTTGAACATGGGTGGCTAGTGTCCGATGGGGCCGGGCTGTTTTTAATGCGCTAGGTCGAGTAGCATTGTGCTGCCCTTGAGCACTGCACCAGCTGTCGTGTAGACTCCCCCTAAGTGACTCTTCTGGCAGAAGTGAGACTAGAGCCCAGACTGAGATTTCTAGTCCTAAACTTTAACCACAAGATCATCCTTCCTTTGCTGGACAAGAATCTTCTACCACCTCCTCTTGTAGCAGGCTGCTTTGCGAGCCCCTGCAGTCAAACCTTTAATGAGGTGATCACTCCATCATGGACTAGGGCTTCTTTCTCCACCAGATCCCTGTGGGGAGCAGTTCTACCATGGTCACAGTTAATCCAGTTTTTCTCTCTGAATGTGTTCGGTGCCCCTGGATATTATGAACGCTCACGTTGGTGTATGCTTGTTTTGTGGGAGTTCTCCCTACACCACTCTGAAGTTTCCAGGCTCGTTCTGTATCTGTGCTTTTTAAAACGACTTTGATCTGTGCAAAGTCAAGCTGTGGAGTTTTGATCCCTTATATTGGTCACTGTCCCAGGGGGGGAAGGGCTGCGTGTTTAAGCTGTCTAACCACCACGTGGCAACCACATCTTGGACAATGGCAGTCAGGTTTCTCTGCTGGTCACAGCCTAGCAATTGGTGCACCCAGTCAGATCTGAGCTCCATGCTCGGCTGATGCATGTTGTATCAACCCCATTAGTCACTAGGACAACAGTCTTTCCATGGAACAAAACAAGCCTTTAGAATCTAGCTGGGGGTGGTTAGTGATGTCATTGTATGGGGAAATGTTAGCCACAACTGGCGAAACAAATCGCCTTCATCTCCAGCTTTCCATCCGCGTGGGTTACCGGACTTGACTGGCCCTGGGTCCTGATGCCGCCCTACAAGCACGTCTGCCACCTCCGCCCTGGTTTTGCACTGAGGCTGTGCACCTCAGTCTGGCATCCAATGGTCTCATCAAAACAAACTTGGAAGAACTCTCCTCCTGTTTTAAGGAACTAAAAATAAAAATGTTGTTACTGTTGAATGAGAGCCTGACCAGACAGACCCAGAGTGGGGGTTGGGTTAGCGAAGAAATCGCCTGCTAATTCTCTTCAACCCCCCAAAACTTCTTGTTTTTTAAAAAAAAACACCTGATGGTTGCTTAGTGACAACTTCCCTATTTGCAGGAGTTTTGCAAAACTCCCGCTCTCAAGAGCGGGGAAATGGATCACTCAGGGCAGGTCTTGCATGGCCCAGATGATAAACACAAATGTACCAAATGCTGACTACTGGCTATTTCAGCCCAGTACCCTAAACTCTAAGGACCAGTATTCAGTGTGGGCCAGAGTGGAGGGGGTGTCTCTCAAACCCCCAGAGGCGGGAAACGCAGACAGGACAGGTTACACTTAGCTAGCAGGCTAATAACCCATTTAAGCAGCAATGCCTTAACTCCTCTCTCTGCCAGATACTTAAATGTGTTTAATCCAAGTTTAGCATGGAAGGCAGTGTGGTCTAGGGGTTAGAGCAGGGAACGTGCAGCCAGGTTTCCTGTCGCTGCTACCGGTAGTCTCTGCTCTGCTGTTGATTCTGACTCCATTTGCCCATTTGAAAAACGTGTTACGAATGGCAAAAGTCCTCTGCCTGTCTCTCCTGCCATGGGATAGAACAGGGGTAGGCACCCTATGGCACGCGTGCCAAAGGCGGCACACAGCTGATTTTCAGTGGCACTCAGTGCCCGGGTCCTGGCCACCAGGCCGGGGATCTGCATTTTAATTTAATTTTAAATGAAGCTTCTTAAACATTTTAAAAACCTTATTTAACTTTACATACAACAATAGTTTAGTTATATTATAGACTTATAGAAAGAGACCTTCTAAAAATGTATTACTGGCACGCGAAACCTTAAATCAGAGTGAATAAACGAAGACTCGGCACACCACTTCTGAAAGGTTGCCGACCCCTGGGAAAGAAGCATCTCCTCTTGGAATACATGGGAGTCACTTGTATCCCGTGGTAGGAGAACCAGATGCCAGGGGTGGCGCATTGCTTAATGTGTGTGGTGATCCTTGGCGGACACAGTGTAGAAAGTGGTAGGGTGTGACCCAGGTTTTAGAGCTCTATTTACCACTCCTGTTTCTGTCCCATCTAGACTGGGGCAGAGTCCGTTTGTCTTGCCCTTCACTACATCGGAACGCAACTTGCCTCCTTTCCACTCCTCGTGCATCACTTGGCGTCTCCAGAGCCACTCAGAAGCTTGCAGAATGGTTGGATTCAAGCCCACCGATGTCCCCCCAACAGCCACGGTGAAGTTTCTAGGGGCTGGGACAGCCGCGTGCATCGCAGATCTGATCACCTTCCCCCTGGACACTGCCAAAGTCCGACTGCAGGTGAGAACTTCTGCAGGCGCGTGTACAGGGGTCTCGGGGCCCATGCTGAGCTCCGTCTCCTTGTGGTGGGCGCAGCTTGAGCTGCTGTCGCTGCACGTTGCTGAGCAATGGCAGACGTGCCTTAGTATTTAATCTGTAACGACGTGTGTTCTCAGCCAGCCCCTGGCCAGTCCAGCGAGCGTGCTAGAGTGTGGGCCTAACCAATGATGCTGCCACCACTTTCCTTGGGCAGTAGTGCCACAGTTGAATACACTTTAGTGTAGATCCCAGGCTGCTTGAATTTTCCTTCTTCCCATTGGTCCTAGTTACACCCCTTTTGTACTGCCCCCTCCTTGGCGTGTACCCCTCTAACAATGTGTAGTCCACTCCCCGGCCCCTAGCCATTGCATAGCTAAGCTGGGCACGTTTAACCCTCCAGCCATGGGGCTGATCCTGCAAGGGGCTGAGCGCTTCTTGTCAAGCACTGAGCACGCCCACAAGCCCCGCCGCCGGGGAGGGAGTGCCGCACCTCTCCAAACGAGGCCCTTGGATTGGAGGGGTGGGAAATGGAAGCTGCTGTGATTGGTCTAAAGCCTGAGCCGGCTTTCCTGGACGTCAAGGGATGGGCTGCATGGACCTCTATGGCCGTGAATTGGGTTAGGCTCTTTGTGCAAACCCGGCTTGGGTCAGTGGGGCTCTGAGACTAGCTTCTGCACTCGGCTCAGATTTGGGGTGATGGGGCTTCGTTCATAGTTTAAGGCCAGCAGTGGGGGTGTCACTTGCTATGGGGCTGGGTGGGCAGTTGCTCCCCCAGACTCTTCAGAGCTCATTTAAATTTAACCCTCTACCCCTTTGTACGGGGCACTGGACGTCGGCCCAGACCCAGGGTGCTGGGACACGGCCCGCTCTGGCTGTAAACTTGTGCTACTGTGTGATACGCATTAGGCAGCCGGTGCCCCCCTGACTCACCGCTCTTTGTCTGTTTGCAATTTGTGTTTTAACAATAAAGGACCCGAAGGTGCAGAAAAGCCCCCGGTCTCCAGGAGGGGAATCTGGATCGCACTTCAACGCAGGCCGCTCGATGGGCTGGGGTAGTGAGTTGGGCCAGGGCCCCAAATCCCTGTAAAGCCTCTTCATCCCATTCTCTCCTGTACAGATCCAAGGAGAGACCAAGTCAGCAGCTAACACAAAAGCTGCTCAGTACAAAGGTGTCTTTGGCACCATTGCCACCATGGTGAAGACGGAAGGTCCCACGAGCCTGTACAACGGCCTGGTGGCTGGGCTCCAGCGTCAGATGAGCTTCGCGTCAGTCCGTATCGGGCTGTATGACTCGGTGAAGCAGTTCTACACCAGGGGATCAGAGCGTGAGTGCCCGTTAGCCTCCTTTAACTTGGGGTGGGCCTTTGTCTCCCTCTAGTGGCTGGAGTGGGTAAAGGTTTGCAGCTGCTATGGCTTCCAAGCTACTGGGCCAGGTCCTCTAGCTCAGGCAATAAAGGCTCCTGCTCTTCCATCCAGAGGTCGTGGGTTCAGTCCCCGTGATGTGCCCTGGAGGGTCTCCATTGCAGCCATTGCAGTGGGGTTAGCTGTGCTGAAATTCGTTTCTGTTGGGGTCAGGTGGCAATTGGGCTCTGCTGAGAGATCCCAAGAGAGGCCTGTATATTTACAGGCACTGTTCTAGACAGCCAATAATGGAGCCGTGTAGAGGCTCGGCTGTGCACACGGCCGCTCGTGGTGGCGGCAGCAGTCGCTACGTGAGGGTTGGGTGTAGCTCCAACATCCTGAGGGGAAGGATGGCCTTTGTGGGTAAGGCCCAGGGAAGTAGGAGGTTTGGGAGCTGTTCTGTGGCATTGGGGTGAGTCACTTAACCCCGCCTCTGCTTCTGTTTCTCAGTTAATGGGGATAACAGTACTCAAGGGACTCCACTCCTGGGGGTAGAGCAGGCTAGGAAAGGGTGGAGAGGAAGCATTGCCCAGTGGTTAGAGGGCTAGTCTGGGCCATGGGAGACCAGTGTTCAGTTCCTCTTTCTGCTCCAGGCTCTGTGACATCTTCCCACTGGGTAACAGCCCTGCCCCATCTCACAGGGGTGTTGCGAGGTGACACTAGATTGCAAGGGGCTCCGATACAGAGCACTGACTGGGGGCCCTGTGTGGACCCAGGACAGAAGCTAAACCCTGTAGAGTCAGCAGCTCCCCTGGGTTAACTTGACCTTCCTTTCTGGCCTCTCACTCTCTTCCCTGCTCTCTTCGCTAGGTGCCGGCATCGGTAGCCGCCTCCTGGCTGGCTGTACCACCGGAGCGATGGCTGTGGCCGTTGCCCAGCCAACGGACGTGGTGAAAGTGCGGTTCCAGGCCCAGGCCCGAGTGGAGGGTGGCAGGCGATACCAGGGGACTATGGATGCCTATAAGACCATTGCCAAGGAGGAGGGACTCAAAGGGCTGTGGAAAGGTTCGTGTGGTTCCCGAACCCTCCGTGGGAGGGGGTGGTTCTAAACCAACACCCAGTTCAGCTACACTACCCAAAAACCCTGCGGCAGCAAGTCTCAGAGCCTGGGTCAACTGACTGGGGCGTGCGCTACAGGGCTACAAATAGCCGTGTAGACGTCCCGCTGGGTTTCAGAGCTCGAGCAGGAGTTTTTAGGGTGACCAGATTTTATAGGGACAGTCCTGATTTTTGGGCCTTTTTCTTATATAGGCTCCTATTACTCCCCCCCGCCCCCCATCCCGATTTTTCATACTTGCTGTCTGGTCACCCCAGGAGCATTTACACGGCTGTTTTTAGCCCTGTTGCCTGAGTCAGGTGGCCTGGGCTCTGCGTCTTGCTGCCGTGAGCTTACACAATGTAGACGTACCCAGAGCATCCGTTTCGCTGACAACTTTTTTTTCCTTGTTCTACAGGAACATCCCCCAACGTGGCCCGTAACGCGATTGTGAATTGCACGGAATTGGTGACCTATGACCTGATCAAGGACATGCTGCTCAAATACAACCTCATGACTGGTGGGTGTCAGGCCTGCTTCAGCAGGGTCCCTTAAAACTCCGGCTCGCCAGTGCAGGATGCTGACCTTGTGTCTGATGGAGTGCTCTCAGTTCAGACTTCACCGGGCGGTGAGGGGGCTAAAGGCCATCCAGGGCTAGATAGGGACGGACCCAATTCTGACTGAGAACGTGGGCTCCCAATCTTAAAAAGGGAGATTGCGACAGTCCTAAGTGAGATGTGGGAAGTCATGCCAAAGTAACATCTGCTAGCGCGTTCCTGCCTGCCCTGAACAATCGCTGGAAATCAGCCAGCTTTACTCAGGCACTGTAAATATTGCACGGCTGGAATGACCCACCCATCTCCTATTGCATTGGCCAGAAGAGATGCCTGGCTTATTCTCCCCTGCACAGCTGGAAAAGAGGGGCTGCTGCTGGCTCAGAGGGTGGAGTGAGGAGAAATATTCCCAGGCCCCAAGGGGCTAGTGGAGCCAGTCCTTGGCTGCCATGCAGGGGGCAATGGCAAGTGGATCTAGGTAGCAGCAGATCATTGGCTCTAGCCTGGCCTGCTGGGAGATCCCATAGAGCTTTGCACCTGACATGCAGGGCTGCCTGCCTCCTGGACAGGCTCCCAGAAAGTCCTGTGGAACTGCGCCAGGAGGGAGGGGGTCAGGGTGTGCTGCCTGGCCTGACGCTGTGTGTTGTCCCCTAGTGAGCACTTTGGCAATAGTGGTGCTAGATTAGCCCACGAGCAGCTGTGAGCCAGGTTACTGACATGCATGCTCAGGTGCCCGTCCCCTCTCCTGTCTGGCAGATAACCTCCCGTGTCACTTCACCTCTGCCTTCGGGGCTGGCTTCTGCACCACGCTCATTGCTTCCCCCGTCGATGTAGTGAAGACCAGATACATGAACTCTGCCCCCGGCCACTATGGAAGTGCCGTCAGCTGTGCCCTCACCATGCTGAGGAAGGAGGGGCCCATGGCTTTCTACAAGGGGTGAGTAGAGAATTCAAGCAATAGGAGCTCTATGCCACCCACCTCACGTAGGGCTGTGTTGGGTGTACCAGCGTCCCTGCACCTGCCACTGAAAGGCAACCACCTCTGAGGTGGAGCCACAGCAGCTGATCTGTGCATGGCAAAGCTCTGCACTGAGACCGCAAGCGAAAACACCCCAGGCTAGGGAAGCTGCAAGTGTTGGGGAGGATTTTAAAACTTGGGCTACAGAATGGTTCTGCTTGGAGGATCTGAAGCCCGTGGCTTCAAGTGTGGGGCTCCCTGGCCCAGGCTAGCACATCATGGCCGAACTGATACCCACAGAGCACTGGGAGGGGGAAGGGAAGAGGATGGAGCCATCCTTGGATGGATCCGTTCCCAGCGGTGACCAGCCCTTCAGAGGTGGATCTGGATGCCGGTGGCTGAGTTGATGGGGCAGTTGTAGTTCAAAGGAACCGTGTGCAGGAAGGGCCCGTTCCTGATTGCGGATCTGTTCCTGTGCGGTCCAGGGGCAGCTCTGCCGATTCCATTCTAAAGGAGTAAACCAGCAGCAAGCGGTGTGAGCCCTGCAGAGCCAGCCCAGCCGCTGGAGCGCTAGCTGCCCTATTCTCACACTTCAACGGAGCCCTAAGTTGGGCCATGAACACCTGGAGGCAAAGGGCTGCCACTGGTGTGACGGAGGGAATAACTGAGCCCTCCTTGCTGGTGAGGTATAAGGAGGGAAGGGTCTGGCTTGACTCTGATTCCAGGCTAGCTGTCAGCATTGCAAACTCCGACCGTCTTGCTTAGAAACTGAACCCGTTTGACCTGCCAATTAAGATCCATGGAGCCCCGTCCCACCTGTTCTAGTCTGTCTGCAGCTGAACTGCACACATAGGTGACACTGATCTGACAAATCCAGGTGTCCCGTTCCCTGCGGAAGCAGCACTTTAATTCATATCAACGTCACTCTCGCTGGCTTATCTCCTCCTGGGGCTGCCCCACGTGTGGGGGAGTGAACCACAGGCCGAGATCTGAGCAGTCTCATCCCACGGAACTAGCTGTGATTCTTCTCCCCTCTCGCTGGCTCTAGGTTCATGCCCTCGTTCCTGCGGCTGGGATCCTGGAACGTGGTGATGTTTGTGACCTACGAGCAGCTGAAACGCGCTATGATGGCTGCCCGTGGCTCCTGGGAGGCCCCTTTCTGAGCCTGCCACGTCTGCAAACTGCACCCACGGCAGGAGCCCTCGCTAGCACGGACTGTCCTGTCTGCGCTCAGAGAGTCTGGCCTCTTCCACGCTGCCTCCAGCCACAAACATGTCGGCCTCTAGGCTCTGAGCTCTTTATTTCTGCTCATCTTCTGGAACAAAGCTGGGCCTGTAGCTGTAATCCCCTGGGAGTGTTGACCCTTTAAATTGGGGTTTTGTTTTTAATGGCAAGTTTGCTTCTTCCAAGTGTACCATTTCTCTTTCCCCCTCCCCCGCCCCCATGCCAAGATCTGATGGACCTAGGCTGATGAGACCCTCTGAGCTGTAGTGCAAGAGACAGGAATTGGAGTTAGCACCTGGGACGTGGCAGTAAAATCCCTCAATCAGGGAGTGAGATCCTTCCCTGATGGCAACCTTCAGTTGGATCATTCCAAGGGCTAATCACTAGAGCCAACGTGTTCAGCCTTGTGGGCTTGGCCTGGACATTATGCTGCCTTACTCTGTATTTCGGTGACTAACTAAGTGCTTGACTTTCCCAGCTGCAGAGCTCTCGACTCCCATCAGCTCAGCAGAAGGGGCAGATTCTTGGTGCCTTTGGAAGGCCAAGCCACTTATTTGCATGCCTGAATACGGATTAGGGGACCTGACTTCTAGGCACCAACACTTTAAATGCTGCCTAGAGCTTTATGGAGCAGCTGTTCCCAGGTCTAGACAAGGAGTAAGAATTCTAGTGCAGTGATGCTGGGAAATTGGGGAGGGTGGTGTAGTAAGTGAAGACCCTGATAAAGGTCCAGTATGAGGCCTGAACTAGAGTAATGGTCAAGACTTTGCTAACATAAAGCAAAGTTAAGCTGTGAGCCAGAGGCAGGCCCTGCTCACAGAAGCTGGCAAGGAAAGGGCTGATGTTGCATAAATATATATATTCACCTAGCAAAGTTAAAGTATAAACATGGTACCAAGACATACTATATGGGAAGTTTCCACAGATAACATGGAACAGGCCGACCCATCCCAGTGACAGGGGCAAAAGGGTAAAATGATGGATAGAGTTGTTTTGATCGAACCAACGTGTACAAGGTGAGAGAAGGGTTGTACCTTGCTGCGTAGAGGGGTGATGTGTAACTTGTACCTGTGTATAAGAATGTATCCCTGGGGTGGTGTCTTTGCCCAGCCGAGGGGGCAGTGGAAAGTCCTGCCACTGGCTGAGCCGGGTCCATTGCCAAGAGGCACTTTCTTGTAGTATGCCTGGTAGACTAAGTAATCTACGGGGAACTGCAATTGTGTCCAAGGTCACAATAAACCTGGCCGAGGTGTCTTCGTACCTTACTAGACTCTGTGGTCATTGGGGGGGCTCTCGTCGGGTTTGCTGTATCTGCTATCTGCAGAGCTGGGACAGCACACGGAGGGAACACACGCACGCAGCCGAGTGATATCAACAGAGGAGAAAGCAGAGCACCACACTGGTAGCATCTGACAACAGGTGGGTCAGGCAGGTTGATGGGTTTTTAAGTCCTAGTAACTATTTTTTTTTAAATGGAGAGAATGTTGTTGGGCCCCCAAGTTTCCTGCAGTTAACACAGTTGTGAGGGGCCAGCAGCTGCCTCTTTGTGTCTTAAAATAAAGCTGGAGTCAAACTCCTCGCCTGCTCCTTGTGTGAACTTGCTTCGGAGGGGAAGATTGAGCTGTTGCTTTTTGCTCAGGAGTGTATTGAACTGAATGGGCCTTTGCCTGCAGCCCTCTGGCTTTGGGTGCCGGACCAGAGCACTTCCTGAAATGGGGCCCCTTGAAGGGGGGTGTCCATCTGGGCACCTAAAATCACCAACTGGGTCCACTGAGCCCTTTTTGCTACCAACCAGCCTGCCTCTCTTGGCACAAAGGGGGGGGGGGTTACGATTTGGAAGGAGAGGCTGTTGGTCTCGTCTTCGTGCTGACCCCTCCCATTCAGCCCCTAAGGATGATCCAGCAGTGACAGGAGCTGAAGTCAGGAACGAGATCAGAGCTGAGGCCCAGCTCGCTCCAACAGTGGCTAACAGCAGCTGGTTCAGAGGAAGGTTTAAAAACCCACCAGTAGCAAATGTGCCATTCCACCCACCAGCCTGCCCCCTACCAGTTAGAAACTGGCTTAAACCTGCAGCATAAGATTACATGTTGCTATCATTGATTATGCATCTCCTATAGCAAGTGATCCTACCATGTTCTTGGTGACTTCCTGTGGTGGTGAGTTCTACAGTCTAACTACAGATCAGGGAAACATTTCTTCTGATCAGTTTTGATTTTGACCCTCTCCTGGTGAGAGGCAGGCAGTGCCTCTGCCCATTCCATTAGTAGTCCTCCCTTTAGTACTGCCCCTTTACCTGGCAGGGCCCAGGGGATGGAAGTAGTGGGAGGTGTGTAGGGTGGGGGAGAGCAGCCTTCCATTACCACTAAGCAGAATTCCTACTGCCTCAAAGGCCCATGAATGTACCCCCCACAGAGACACACATACAACTGAGTTTTGGCCTGAGACCCAGCAAACCACCATTGCCTCCATTAAGCAGCATTACTTTCCCCTTCAAGCAGCAGAAATGGCCATTAAGTATCTGTAAGGAAGTGGAAACTTTCTTCCCCCCACCCCCCCATGTCTGCTTTGCCCCCCCTACCCCACCAAACAAGACCCCTAGCAGCTCCCTACTCGTGCCCAAGAGCCACAGGTGGGGAGGCTGGACAGAATGGAAACTGAGCAAGGAGAAGTCAACCCATTGGTTGGTGCTGGACAGAGGGAGGCCAGTGGTGGGGAGGATTTCCAGGGCTCAGGCCAGCATTAGGCACAGGGATGGGCAGTGGGGTTCCCAAGCAGGGGAATGAAAGGCATTTCTTTCTCTACATGCAACTGTACTTTGCACAAGGCTGATCAATTACATTTTTCTAGCATCTTTCATCCCTAAAGGCTTTCCTCATTGCATCAGCCACTATGGAAATGCAGCCACCTCTGGGGTGGAACAGGGCAGCTACAACCTGCAGTTTAGGACAAAGTGAAGAACATCAGCCTCCACTTGAAATGCAGGGAGGAGTTTCATGGGGCCAGGCCAGCAGTGTTCCCTGCTTCTATAGAAAGTACTGCTGAACTTTAACCAGTACAGAGCTCAGTTTTGTCAATAAGCCGAGCTGCTGCTTTCGTTGCCCTTCCCTGCAGTCATTAAAGGGACGGTTTCAAAGACACCATGCAGTGGGGGAGCCATTTATAACACCAACAACATACACCCAGTGACCCAATCTGTACGAACAGCTAGAAAGCTTTATTCCCCTGGGTCCCATGGAGCTGAACTCACAGCATCCTTAAGTCAGGAGTGCTTGTCGCAGGAGCTGCTTCTTGGCTGGTGTGAGCCTTTCGGGAAAGCGGATATCAAAATACATGATGAGATCCCCTTTCTGGGTGGGGTCACTGGGCAGAGGCATCCCTTCCCCCGGCACGATTTTGAAGTACTTGGGGCTAGAAAAGCAAAGGCCAGCGTTATGCAGGAGGGTACAGGGAGTAACCTCCCTAAGGCTGCAGTAAGAACACACGCCTGGCTGGAGCGCAGGGGAGGGATAATTTTATTAAGGAGCAAATTGTGCCTCCGGGTGCACCAGTGCAGCTCCCTGCGAGGGCAGGAGCTGGCCCTAACAAGCCTGCTAAGGGGGATGGATGTAGCTTGGAAAAACACATGTAACTATTTCTTTAGCATCATGCTTCAGAGAACAGCACGTTAAAAATGGGCTTTGGGACTCTCTCTTCACTTTGTCTCAGTGACTCCTATTGGTTTTCCTCCGATGCTGCCCTGGGATTTGAAAGGCCACCTGGGTTCATTCTGGCTCAGGCACTGCCATTGGGCAGAGCGGTTCTGCAAAGCCAAAGTCTGCCCTGAGTGACACCAGGGCAAGGGGTTTGTGCGGCTGCAGCGAGCTGCCTGCAGGGGAGGTGTCTGGGTACCAGTGTGGGCAGAATTCAGCTCTGAGCTAACAGTCCTGTTAATGCGCCGGGTCACCCTCCTGGAGCTGTGTGGGCGCCGCAGGGCTGGCAGGAGTAAAAACCAGTAACCCTGGTGGTGTTTGTGCTGTAACTAGATGTCGCTCTGCAGGCACAGGACGAGCAGAGCTGCTTCCTACGAAGGGGTCACTTTTACAGTCAGGCCAAGACTTTCAAAAGTAACTAGTGATTTGGGGTGCCCAATCGAAGACCCCTTAAAGGGGCCTGATTCCCAGAGAGCACTGAGCCCCCACCCTCGGACGGTCTCAAGGTGCTTTCCTTTGAGCTTCCCAAATCACTAGTGAACAGCTCGCCTTCCCTCGTGAGAACAGACCCTTTCCAGACACCGGGCGAGCAGGGTAGTTTGCCTCGCTGATTGCATACGGGGCTCTCTCTGCTCCGGCACTTACTGGACTATGTCATTGATGGGAATATTAAGCAGCCTGTCATCTAGGGTTCTCACATCCACTGTACAGCCAATCAAAGCCTGCAAAAGACAGAGCGAGGCAATGAGCAAAGATGTTCGTCGGTCCTGTGAGTCTGTTATTCCAAATAACAGGCACAGGCGGAATAATCTGTGATCCGTGGAAGCCTGGGTAAGGCTACTCCGGATGGGCCTTTACACCCTGAGTATTCCTCCAGGCACAAGAGGCTCAGCCCAGTGGAGAGGGATCTTCTGAGTTCGGACCGTGCAGAGCCAGCAGCCTGGCTCCTCTGCCACGAGAAAAGGGGCGTGTGGCTGTAACCCTGGGTGGCCTCCATCTATTTGTGCAGCCCCCAAGCTGATCTACATTATGCTGGGGGGATCAGATCGAGCCACAACCCACCCAGAACTGAGGGGCTTAACCCCGCCTTTGCACACCCCTCCCTCGAGCTACATCGACCAGAGCAGAGAGTCTGGTGTGAAGAGTGGCAAAGTACCCCTGAGTCCATTCATGAGAGCAAGGGGGAGAGAAGCTGAAGATATTTCAAAATCGCTCGCCTTTGCTGAGGAAGGAGACGAGAGTAGTGAGGCCATTGTCCTTCAGAGGCCTGGTGAGCAAAGAGAAATGCAATGCACGAAGGGACACGCTTTTCCCAAAGGGTGCAGGGGCCAGAGCAAGTGTGGAGCCCTTAAGAACAGAGCATTGTGACTTAACAATAATCCCTAGCTCCTCCACTGGGCTTTTCAGCTGTAGTTCTCAAAGCACTTGACAAAGAAGGGCAGTGTCATTCTCCCCATTTTACAGATGGAAAACCGAGGCACAGAGAAGTGAAGTGACTTGCTCAAGATCACCCAACAAACCAGTGGCAGGGCTGGGAACAGAACCCAAAGCTCCTGCGTCCTGGTCCAGTGTTCTAGAAACTAGGCCACATTACCTCCTGTGTCATTAATGAACACCACATTCAGAACTACCTAGCAGTGGAGATTTTAAATAAGGAACTTTTTGGAAAAATTATAGTTAGTGTCTGAGCTAACTCTAGCATCTGACAACATCAGTGGAATTTTAGCTGTAAGGACCTGTTTCCTTATACATACTGGATACTGCGTGGCAGTGCAGTAGAAGTACAGTTGCTCCTTGTGTTGTTGTTCTGGCTTGTTGCAGACTGACCAATCCATAGGACATTGTAACTGGATTTTTAAGAGAGCTGGGTAACATTATGACCAATACACCACCAGTAATCGTACAGTCAGTGGAGATCAGGGTCACCTAAGACCATGCTTCAGGGTATGAATGGACAACGGAAGGGGTCAGGAAGGAATTCTCCCTCCACCTACCATGTATGACATTGCAAAACTGGTGAGGTGCCCTGTTTCGGGTTGGCGTGGCAGTGCCAATTCAGAAGCAAAAGGCATTAGCCATAAATAGAGAATCAATTTGATTGTCAGCTCTTAGGACAGGGGTAGGCAAACTTTTTGGCCTGAGGGCCACATCAGGGTTGCAAAACTGTAGAAAAGGCTGTGACTCCCCAAACAGCCTGGCCCCTGCCCCCATCCACCCCTTCCCACTTCCCACCCCCTAACTTCCCCCCTCAGAACCTCCGGACCCATCCAACCCCCCTGCTCCTTGTCCCCTGACCGCTCCTTCCCGGGACCCCCCGCCCCTAATCACCCCCCGGGACCTCACCCCCTATCCAACCCCCCCCGCTCCCTGTCCCCTGACTGCCCTGATCCCTATCCACACCCCCGACCCCTGACAGGCCCCCCCCCAGTACTCCCACACCTATCCAACCCCCCGCTCCCCATCCTGACTGCCCTGACCCCTATCCACACCCCCTGAC